TTTCTGTATTTGAATTTGATTTGAGATCAAATATTTGATCAAATCAAATCAAATCAAATCGAATTGCGGAACCCTACGTCATACTACAGAAGGTTCAAACCCAGGTTCACCCTATTAGCAAGGCCTCTACACCATTTACTACAAAAAGATGTTAGTTTTCATTGGAGACAGGAGCAACAAGAAGCATTTGAGGCATTAAAAAATTACCTAATGATGGCACCCATTCTTAAGTACCCCGATTTCAACGATAGATTTTACTTGTATACCAATGCATCCGGCACCGGATTAGGGGCTGTCCTGGCCCAGAAAGGTGAAGGCAAGAAGAAACATGTGATTTTCTATGCTAGCCGCAGCTTATCTAAAGCTGAAAGAAATTACTTAGCGTGTGAATTGGAGTGTCTGGTGGTTATTTGGGTGGTTGAATACTATCACCATTATTTTGGCTTTAAGCCATTTATAATCGTAATGGACCACTTGGCACTAAAGTGGCTACATAGTATGAAGTTGAAGAGGTGTAGGGCACAATGGATACTCCGGCTACAACCATACAACTATACAATTCAACACAGATCAGGAAGTACTCACCTAAATGCAAATGCATTATCAAGAATAAATGGGGCAGAAGAGAAAATTGCAGAAGTATATATGGTAGAAGAAAATAGAAAACAAACCCCAGAAGAAGCTACAGCTGATAAAAAAGAATTAAACAAAACGGGTATCACTATAATGAACATGAAAGAAGAAAAATAGTATATATCAATGGCCAACTATGTATCCAATGATCTAGAAAATAATGGTTGTGAACCTAATTAATATGAAGAATGGATAAGTGATAAAGACGAAGATTATCAAGAGCTGCTAGAACAGCTAGTGTTGGAATCAGGTCATATACTAACCTGGATGAGGTATGATACCGTGAAAAATATGCAGTGGTCCAATGTCAAATATAAAAAAAACTAACAAAGTCTGGACAAAACGTATAGTGTCGAATTGCCAAAGTGGGAAGAACCAGATAAAGGAGTTGATTATAGTGATGATGAAGAATGGGATAATGAGAATATTAAAACGTGGTGGCAACCAGAAGAAGATTGTATGGGTAACCAAGAGTGGAGAAATAATTGGTATGAAGATGCTGAGGAATATGAAGTGTTCATGATTAAAGTGGAGAATGGTGACTCAGAAGAAGAAACCATCAAGTCGGAACTGGAAGATTACTCACCTGCCCTTAGATTTTTCAATAATGAAGTTCCTGGCCTTGGACTTCTTACCAGCCCATTCTTTAACTCTGAAGAAAGTACAGAGAGAAGATTCGTAATTGAAGAATACCAGAGGAAATTAGAATACCGAGAATCAGACTTAGAAGCATTAGAGTCAGATGATGAATCCACTCAAAGCAGAGATGTGGTAATACTAAGTGAAATAGTGACAGAAAATTGTAAAGAAAATACTAACCCAGAAACTGACAAAGAAGGAGACGATGAATTCTGGTACAGCTATGATGATGACAAAACTGTAATAACCCAAGAAGAGGAAGATGAATACTATGAAATAAATGAAGAAAAAGAAGTATTTATGATAAAAACAAAAATGAAGATGAACAGAAGGAAGGTAATGAAGTAGAAAACATCATACCAGGACCCAGCGAACAGACCCTTAACGAAATAAATGGCCAAGCGTGGACCTAAAGTATGACACCACTATACTTTTGGAAAATGACTAGTGATTGTTATAGTGCGTTAAACTT